TTTGATAAAGTCTGTATGGTGCCCTGGTGGCCTGTATACAGTAGCCAGTACAAACGTCACAAGGAATTTATCATTAACACTTATTACACTAGATAATGTTATATAAAGCACCATTACTTTAAACGAATTATACTTTAAATCAGACCTCTGAGAAATACTGAAAATATTAATATAAATTGTAGCAACACCTCCCCCTTTACCTTTTGATCGCAGCTCATGATTATAAATGTAATCTTGGGGGGGTAGACTCATTTAAAGTAATGTAATCATCTGGTTTTAGGCAGGTTTCTGTCAAACAGAGTACATGTAGGTTTTGATCTGTGATCATATCATTTACAAAAAGCGCTTTCATAGAAAAGGATCTAATATTCATTAATCCAAGGAACTAATAATCAGGAACCCACATAAAAATATATAGAGAAGATTTTAGCAATAACAAAAACCTGGAGGATGTCCCTTAATGTAGGTAGACTTATGTAGGCTTTTGAAATTGTGAACTCCCGTTGACGAAGTGATGCAGTGTTTAACTTATTCTCAGGTTTCCCATTTTTTCTACCTATGTATGTTTGTTTGTTTCTTTCTACCTTTTTTTCTATCTTTCTCCCTTCACTATTGTATGAATAAAGGATTATAAGAAAAAAATTATAAAAAAAAAAAAAAAATCATTAACCCATGAATTTTTAATCCTGTGTTGACATTATTCTGGATTAGGGATGCAACGATTATAGATTTGTTGGTACGATTATTGTCTGAGGAATAATCACGGTTTCACGATAATGACGATTATTATGCATTTATTCATTTCACAAAATTATTAACGTATAAAATCACATGGACACTCTTTAGATAATAAAGTGTTATTTATTGCTGCCTTTAGAGCTCTCGCTCTCTCTCTCGATCGAATAATTAATTCAAGTAGCTAAGTGTTATAATTAATTCAAATAAATGTGATCTTACCACACTATTTCATCTCTTTCTGATCTGAAGCGGGCAGAATGCTGAGCTAACGAGCTGAAGCTTCGCGTCAGGTGGTTCTTGCCTTCACATTAAAATCATTT